ATGTGCAAGGTTTAAGGGAAGTGATGCAGTCCTGTAGAGAGAGATTTCTGTGTTGTCTTCGAACAAGGGGCAGCACTTGTTCTGAATGGCGATGAGTGGGCCGTTTATGTGGGCTCAGAGGAGTCAAGGGTTCAGAGTTTGGGGCATCCACCAGAAGTCCCCATACCAAGTTTATCCTCCCTCTTCCTTCCTCACATAGCCTTCTGTTGTGGCTGATCAACCTTGCCTGGAGCGTGGCGACTCTGATAAGTCCTGGGTCTGGATGTGGGTTACAACTCTGTCTGCCATCTTGGTACCCAGGATTCCCTCTGTGTCAGTGGCAACTAGCAGTTACTAGCCCATCACCTGTGAGAAGGTCTTCATTGCCAGCTAGCTATGGAGCAATAAATCCTTTCCTCGCTGTTTCCACTCCCACCTGCCACAAGGCAGTTCTGTACAAGCAGATGACTGCGGCAGGCAGGACATGGATTAGGTATCAACCTCTGGCAAGGCAGAGAGGAAATAGGATTGAGCAGAGGGTAAGGTGACCAGATCATCCTGCTTTTCACGGGACAGTTCCGATTTCTAACAATTTTTCCCACGTCCCGCGGTGTTTTTAAAAAAAGTCCCAATTTTTGGAAAGATTGGAAAGATTCTTTTCAAAAATCGGGACTTGTTTAAAATGCCGCAGGACATGGGGAAAATAGTTATAAATCAGGACTGTCCTGCCGATAGGGGACGATCTGGTCACCTTAGAGGGCAAAGGTGAGCTTCGGTGCAGTTCGGATGATGCCCTAGCTGAGCCCATGGTAGACTCTGGGCCATATGTGGCCATCACAGTTGTTCCAGGGCCCTCACCACACTCAGCCATTGGATGCAGCAGCCCCCAGCAGGGCCTGCCCCCGGGAGAGGCTGCCTGGAGAGCTCTCGCAGGTCGTTGCCTGCTGACTGTGCTCCTGGCAGTTGAACAGCAATTATTTCCTGGGCCAGCGGCTCTAGGTGACATATCAGTGTTCACCTCAAGTCGCCTCCATTTTTTTATGGGGAAAATATTAAACTTGACCTTTGAACACATTTTGGGCAAAGGTAGCTTGGAAGTGGAGCCCTTAGGTCAAATGCTGCTACACGATAGTGGTCTTGGAGTCCACTGTGCTAAGAAAGATGCATAAGTAACTTGAATGTAGTACAAAGTGGGTGTCTACTCCTGATTGCCTCACCTTTGACCCCGCTGGACAAGTCTTGAAAGTCATTGTTTGCTTCTCCTGTGATTTCCTTGTGTAACCTGAGCAGCAGTCTTCAGCCAGGGCGATTTGCCCCCCATCCTCCAGTCCTAATGGGCATGTGGCAATGTCTAGAAACTTGGTATCACAACAGAGGAGATGCTAGTTTATCCTACAACTCACTGGCCGCCTTTCACACTAACGTGTCTTTATGCGGCCAGAGTATCTTCATGCCCAGCTTGAGAAACCCTGCTCTAAATAAAGCTGGAGCAAAGAGCCTAAATAGCATGCAGTGTAAATTCTGCACTTTTTTTTGGAGTAGCTGACTAAAACCTCTACACACTCATGAATGGATGTTGATGAGGTGAGTTGTATTGTGACAACTCTTATTAAAAGGACTGCTGCCCAAATGGTGCCGTTCCTTTCCTGAGCTCTTAGTGTGTGTGGATTTCAGGAGTCTGAGGCAAGCCTCGAACAAGTATGGTTTTCCCCACTTGCTCTGAGCAAAACTGCAGGATGGCAAGCTAAAGGGATTGTATTAGCAGGATAAGAAGAACATGCAGATAGACAAGCTGGGAAAACTACCTTTTTCTGTAGTAACTGCTGCAGGGAGAGAGATCTTGGAGCCAGGCTGTAGTCACAGCTGTGTAGGTTAGCTTAAGAGTATAATGCTCTACAGTGAGTCGTCCTCGTGCCCAGTGAACATTCATGGAGTGCCCACGCTGAGCCAGACACTGCAAAGCCCAGTCCTGTCTCAAGGACCACCCCTGTGAGCCTTTTCACTCAGGAAAGCGTTGGGCCCTGTGAGTGACAGCTGAGGAACCTCGGTTGAGGGGACCGCAAAGCTGACAACGCTCCCATTTGCAAACCTGGCAGCTCTTGGTCCTGAGAGCCTTGCCCTGAGTTTACATTCGGGAGCTGCCCTTTGAGAAGGTTAGAGACTAATTCGAGGGAGTAAGTGGCAGAGCCGCTGCCAAGCTCTGCCTCCTTGAGATTTGAAGTTTCCTGGTTCCTCCCCACCCAAGCCCATCAGACTTCCTCACCATACTTCTCAATGTGATTTTTTGGCTAAAAAACAGTCAACCTGTAAGACATTTATCGATTCAAAGAGCAAACCTTAACTCCCTTCATGGCTAACACACCAGGAAATTTTTAACTAATGTATTATTCCTGGCTCAGAGTAGATCTTAAAAGTTCTCATCACAAGAAAAAAAAATTGTAACTATGTATGATGATGGATACTAATTAGATTTATTGTAGTGATTATTTCAATATGACTTATGAAGCTATAACTTACTCTTTTTTTAATTTTAGGATGGTGAAGAAACATACCACCCTATTGTACCTATTTTGGCCAGATTGGCAAAAACATTTGGTGTCACATTCTCATTTGTGTGCCGAGATAAGAAAGGTTGAAAATAGCTGTGCTAGAGTACCATGTGCCATATCCCATATGACCTTAACAGCTTGAGTTAGTCCCACCAGTCAGTCCTTTGGGTAGATTCAGAAATGTCCTGCACAGCTATTGACAGCCAGGGGAGAGTTAGCTGGGTTCTCGCTGACTGGAGGAAAGGATGGTTCTGATGGGCTGTCAGCCCCAGGTTCCTGGCTCCAAGCCTGAAGAAATCAAGAAAAGGGAATGAAAGACCAGAAGAGAAGAGAATAGTGGTAGGGCAGTAAATTGGCCTCCAGGTAGCAAAAAAAAACAAAAACACTTTCAAAATGACTGGGAGAACAGAGAGGCCGCCTAGAGGCGAGGGAGGAGAAATGCAGGAAGGATGTCTTGCTTTTTGTCACTCCCGCTGCCCTGTGCACTCAGGCCAGCAAAGTCCTTTTGTTCACTACCCAAGCTAAGACTCTGTAGTTCAAGTTTGTCCTACAAATGTACTTCAAACTAATCTCAGTGATTTATTTTATTTTATTTTATTTATTTATTCTTCCTCGTTTTTTTTTATTAAGGTATTATATGAGTACATACCTTACCAATCCCCACCCCCACCCCCACTCCCATACATGCCCTCCTTCCCCATAGTTTTTCATCCATTGGTTATGCTTATATGTATGCATACAAGTCCTTCGGTTGATCTCTTATCTAACCTAAGTGACTTAGTTGTGCTGTCTTTACAGTATGTTGTGTGTAAAAGAAATGCATATACGGAATTGAAAATTCTCTGTCCATAGAGCACTTCCCAGTAAGTCATTTCATCAGGAACTGTTTTCCTTTCTCATTGCATTTGGATCTGCCTTCAGAATAACGATCTTAACAGTTCACAATAAGATTAGGTCAGATTTTTAAATCCATTGTTTATTTTAGACCTTTCTACTGAGAGGAGGCTGTTCGGGTGTTTTGTAGAACACCTTCAGACTCTTCAAACAGCCATGGCTTTGTCTAAGACTTAAATAACATGCTCCACTTGGGAACAAAAGTGAGTCATGAGTGTTAAGAACCTTGCAGTCCTTCTGAAGACCCTGTTCTACAGCTGCTTTGCATCTCTATTGATGTTGAAATGAGGTGCTGAATCTGCAAGACATTTGCTCTACCAGTTCTGTGTGCATAATCTAAACCGGCATTCGCCAGCCTTTCGGACCTCGTGGACCACCAGTTGGTGACCGCTGCTGCAAAGGTTTCCTTAAACCGGCGGTCACCGACCTTTCAGCCCTCGCGGACCGCCGGTGGCCCACGGATCACCGGTTGGCAACCGCTGCTCTAAGCTGTGCATTTATTTCACGTGCGGTTGGCCATCAAGGTGCCTTTCCTGGAGGCACACAGGTACTGTCAACTGAGAGAGGCCCTTAACACTTTAAGACTTCTCATAACAATGATTTTGCTGCTTTTGGAAAAGAAAGGCACCTACCAAAAGTGCATTTTACCTGAGCTCAGAAGCTTCTTTGTGACCACCAGAATCTTCAGGAAGGTTAACCATGGAAGATAGGAAATTGTGACATTAGAATCATGCAGTTTCTGTCAGATAGTCTCCTCTTTTCTCCTTACTTCAGCACCTGTGAGCCTATCATTAGAGTGATAATGAAATTCATGCAAATTTGTGATGAGACCTTAAAAGTGTGGTAGAATCCAGGACAAAGTTAAAACCAATTTCATATATATATATATATATATATATATATATATATATATATATGCGCGCATGCGCGTGCACACACACACATTTTCTTAAAACCAAGTGTTCACTCCCCCCACTGAGTCATGCATATAGTCAGACCCTCTGAGGCAGTGGTCGTTGGGGGTGCTTCTCAGTCCTGGTTGTCGCCTCCCCGGTATCCCCCTGCAGGACCTCCCGCCTGTGTGTGCAGAAGCTCTGGCTGGCCTCACGTCCCTAAATTTGCAAACGTTCGAGCTTTGCTTGGGCCTCATTTTCCTAGGAAACAGCTTTGTACCAAATGAGTTCACACACTGGGAGTACGGGGCAGGCAGAGAGGGACATGTCAGTGACTTCAAATTTACAAATGGATCTCTAATTTAGATTTCTTGGCTGTCTATTTGATCCTGTATTACATCATAAAATAAGCTTGTTACATTCACTTTTTTTGAAAACCCACTGACCAGTATGTTGCTCCCCACCCGCACTGTGGACTGTGCTGGGTTTCTGCTCAGCACCAGGCTCTAAAGAGGTGCGCGTTGGGTGCAGTCCTGGAGGGTGTGCAAGGGGGCCCAGCCCGGGCCGTCAAACACCCAGCCTCAGTATGCATTTTTAAGGGATGAGATCTTAGGTTAGGCCTTTTCCACCTGCCTCCTCGTCACATTTCATACTTCATATCGGTGTCAACTCTTCTTCCTTTCAGGCTAATGAAATGTTGCTCAGTGGCCGTAAGCTGACAGCGCAGGAGGCGTGCGGCAAAGGCCTGGTCTCGCAGGTGTTCTGGCCTGGGACCTTCACTCAAGAGGTCATGGTTCGCATTAAGGAGCTTGCCTCGTGTAATCCAATTGTACGTCAAGTTTGTTCTCTTACATGTGTGACATTTTGTGTGTGGGTGTTTTTTGCCATTACCTTTTCCTGCAGAAAAATCAGACTTTTCACAGCATTTCCCTGAGCCCTCCCACATTTGCTCCCTGCACAGCCACCTTCATGGGAAATACTGACGGCAGCCATAATGGATGCCAATGCTTCAGTCTGCTTACCCTGTCCTCCCTTTGCTAGTGCACAAGAATTAAAGGAGAGCATTTCAATCTCAAGTTTAGTAACTTAAAAATGCCCTATAGCCCTGGCCAAAAGGTTGCAGGTTTGATTCCAAATCGGGGCAAGTACAGGAAGGCGACCAATTGATGTTTCTCTCCCTCCCTCTGCCATCTCCTCAAAGATCAATAAGCATGTCCGTGGGTGAGGATATTTTTTTTAACTCTATAAAAGCCCACCAAAAAAACAACATTTATATAGCTCTTCTGCTTTCAAAGCCCTTTCATATAATCACTTTTCCCACATGGTAGACCTAAGTTTTGTCTAATAAATGTGCTGGATAATAGTTAATCTTTTAACAAAATTGTACTTGCCAAATTATAAGGTGAAATGTTATTGATATTAACTGATGTAACTTCCCTCTAAGCCAGTGATTTTTAACCGATGTGCCACAAGAATTTTTAAAACATGTGATACCTGACTATTTAGTCAGGGGCACTGATCTCTTTTCCTTTAAAATAAAAAAATAAAAAATAAAAAATAAATGAGAACAGTCAACACAATAGCCATCCAGTGTGAATTAAAATTATGGGTGTTTTTTTTTTGTCAAATCAGCAAAATGTAATATTTTCTGGTGTGCCACCGAATTTTATCGTTTATATTGCCATGAGATGAAAAAGGTTGGAAACTGCTGCTCCAAGCTATCCCAAACGTGAGCAGCCCTCATTAAAGTTGAATTTTGGTTAAACAATCCCCTCAGCAGACATCCTCCCAGTTTCCCTTGAGCACCATGTGCGTAGCTTAGGCAGCATAGCAGAGTGGGCCACGGCTGGTCTTGGTGTCAGGAAGAGGCAGGGAGTAGACAGTACAGCTCCCTTTCGAAATAGCTTGACAACTATTTGACGTTGAGAATGTATCTGATATTTAGTGTAAACTAGACTTTGTACATGTATTAGGCCTGGTGTATATGGTGGGAAATGTCTAGAAGCTTTTTTTTGATAGGTCGTTACTCAGGTTTGATAATTATCCACATAAACTTGTGCAGTGGAACCAGTGCTTGCAGACACACACCTGCTAACTGTTGTTTGGTCCAGGTGCTGGAGGAATCCAAAGCCCTCGTTCGCTGCAACATGAAAGCAGAGCTGGAGCAGGCCAATGAGAGGGAGTGTGAAGTGCTGAAGAAGATCTGGGGCTCAGCCCAAGGGATGGACTCCATGCTGAAATACTTGCAGCGGAAGATCGATGAGTTTTGATTGGCAGGCTGCCTGCTGATGACACTGGAATTGAACAGCAGGACATCTGTGGCTCCAAGGTGCCCGAACCCATCCTCACAGCCTGAAACGTGTTCACTCTTAGCTCACACTTGGAAGCAGGACTTGAAACATCCAAGCTATTTATTGTCAAGGAGTTTTTAAGTACTGTAACTTTAAAATAAATAATTACAAAGCTCCTTTGCCCAAACATCATTATTTTATACTTAATATTCAGACAAGTATGAGAGTGTAATGGTGAGCGCTAGACTGCTCGCTTCAGCTCTAATTTCTGCTATCTTTGGCTTGTACTGTATAAAGAAGGAAGTGTGTTTTGCTGGTTTGGGATTGCAGGAAAAGTCTGGGATAATGTTTATTTTCCTTATTTTTTCTTTCTAGGACAGACTCTAAAGAGGCACTAGACAGCCTCATCTCCTCTGCCCCAAATAGAGATATAGAAAGATTTGAATGTGCTTTTTCTCCAAGAAGGCATAGTAACTCAGATGAAAAGTCCATATCAAAAGTAACCTTTTAGGATACTTTTAAAAGTAACCTTTTTAGGATACCTCTTAGGATACAAAAATACCTTTTAGGATATTTCTGATGAAAAATCCACTGGTAAACATGCCCCCAAACTAAAGTACACTTAGGATTTATGCTTGAAAAAAAATCAATTGCTTTTTCCTTCTCTTTTAATATGCCTGGTTCTCACCCAGTTAACATGGAGAAACCACTGTCTCGGGAAGAAAGCTTGTTTTGCAGTCCTAGTGACTCACTGGACAGCCTAAGTGTGGAATCTAAGCTATAAGTTAGCCTTAGTGGGATTTAAATAATGTCTTTGACCCTTTTGAAAAAATAACTGCAATGCTTCTTGTTGCTGGGTGAGAAATGCTACTTTATATACAATTTTGGTTTTCTATGTGCAGATATGATTGATGTATTACACCAAAAAAAGTATTTTTATGTTTATAAACTGTATTTTTTAGGTTCACTTAGAATATATTTTATTTAATAAGTTAAAATTGTTTGCCACACTATTAAATGCAGAAACTCCTTTTTAAGAAAAAGAACTACCTTATATTCGATGTTTAATGTTCTTGGTCTCCGGGTTCATGTCTATACAACACACTGAGTTCAGTGTGGTGTCCAAGAGTGCCCTACATAAACAGACATGTGCGCTGCTCTCAGGAGTGGGGCCGATTCCTGATTGCGGAGGCCTGCCATTAGGTAGGCTTCTGCGCTTGCAATCATATTGAATGTATGAAGAGTGAAATAAAATCAAAACCTTATTTTTGTACAGTTTTAAATTTTATACTAGAACTGACCGCCTCCTGGCTGTGTGGAGAGCTGTACAGTGTATAAACCTGCCTTTACCTGGGATTGGTTGGTGCAGTATTTTTGCATCTGTGGGACCTACTTTTTCGTTCAGTAGTTTGAAATATATATAAACTGTACAATCTGTAAAGTTTTTATAGAATAAATATTCAGCTGTGAAAACTGGTTAAATAAAACTAATATTTCTTAACACATTTAAAATGTTTTCTCTTATAATTATTCACTTCTGAAGTTTCTTCATGAATGTATAATCTTTTTTGTGAAATATCCATAGGAGCATAAAGCATTTGTACAGTAGAAAGAGTAATGAGCCACTGTAACTACCCCTAGGGAGGAACTAGAAAATGGCCAGTGTCCTCCTGGGTCACGTCCACCTCCCCTCCCCAGGTTACCATTTTCATTTCCTGTCACACATTTGTGTCACGCATCAAAGAAGCATATTTTTTAGCATATATTAACTAGTTGTGCATATTTAGAGTCATATTGTATCCCATATAAGCTCCTGTGATTTATATCTTCGATTCAGTAGTAAGAGGCTTTTTTATCTGTGTACAGAAAGTTATATAGGTAAAGAGCCTGAGGTGTGAAACACTCACCCTAGATCATGTGGGTAACTGGTCAGAGGTAGGACCAACCTTCCAGCCCAGTTCAATGTGGCAAAATCTATATTCTAGCAACTTGCCTGTAATGTCTGTTTTTTAGAATTTACAAATAGGTAACTGATTCAGTAGGCTCATGCTCAGTCTTGGTGAGGGTGATGGAAAATGTAGCCTCTCATATTGGTGAAAGTCTAAATTTGTTGAGCTTTAGAAAAGAATTTGGTAATTACTGTAAAAATAAGTATTAAAAACCTAGACCCAGTAAGTTCTATTTATAAGAATTCATCTTAATCAGTGAGTTCTTACAGAAAATAAGAATATGAATTCTTACAGAAAATAAGATATTTATTCAATTAAACTCACCTCAGGATTGTTCCTAATAGTAGAAAGTTGGAAACAGCATACCTTGTTCATTAGTAAGGTTTGTGTTAAATAGTTAAGCTACAGCCACACTGCTGTGGGAAAGGAATGAATCTTTTAAAATCTAAGGTGGAGCAGCATTCCAAAAACACCCATTGTATGCTTTTTTTTTTTTTTTAAATATGCTTTTATTCATTTCAGAGAGGGAGAGAGAAAAACATCAATGAAGAGAGAGACTCACTGATGGGCCACCTACTGGGGACTGAGCCTACAATCTAGGCATGTGCCTGACTGGGAATCGAACCACGACCTCCTGGTTCGTAGATCGATGCTCAACCACTGAACCACACCAGCCGGGCCCATTGTATGCTTTTATAAGGTTAAAAAACCATATTCTGTTCTGTTTATCAAGTCCTCTCCCCTAGTGCTTCCCAGCCCCAGGGGTGAAACACTGCCCAACCCTCGGAAGTTGAGGTAGAGATGGGTGCTACTGCCCATTTAAGGCTTCAACCAGGGCCGTCCCTTCTTGCCTTGATTCCTCGGCCGGGTGGCAGTAATAGCAGCCAGCACTTAGACTGCCCTGAGCCAAGTACTAGACCAAATACTGCTAGCTCATGTGATTTTTTTTTTTTTTTTTTTTTTTTTTTTTTTTTTTTTTTTTTTTTTAGTATACTCAGTTTTCAGAGACTATTGATGGAATATATTTTTAATAAAATATCATACAATTAGAGCTGTCAAATCTTTTGGTAGCTGACTTCATTTCTGACATCCCTGGCAAGACTAAAGAAATCCAAAGACCCTGAACTTTGAGATCTTTGCAGGAACTCCGTATCCACAGTGTAAATGGAAAGGAGTGCGGGAGAGCACCTGGCAAAGGCTGCTCGCATGGCTCCTGTTGGCCCCTGTTACTTGGTCAAGAGTGAACAAGGGTTCACTGGGGGTTTATTTACCCAGGTATATGGGTAAAGCAGGAGCCCAGAAGGTCCGGAGCCAGCCTTGGCCAACTCCCCTTTGGCCACATCAGAGGCTCCAACCCACCCATACATGATCTCTTCACATTAGCATGAACAAATGTTACATCTCCAAGGGAAGGGAAAGGTGTGCATTGCACTTGAATTGGTAACTCGGTAGCTATGTGAAAAGGACAGCCTGGGACACGGCTCCGTCAGCCTGTCGGTCTGGCCCTCAAGAAGCTCCGTCTCATCTGCTTCCCTCAAATTCCAGGCCAGCTAGCCCATCTGGTGGCCTCTTACTGACCTTTCTATCTTGTAACCAGCATTTCTCAGCCCATGTGCTTCCTGTCCTAAAGTGCACTCTAATGGCCTCCAGGACATGCCCAGGGGAACCTACCCTCCCTCCACAAGAAGGCAGATTCTGGGCAGGTGAGCACAGTCCTCCGAGGAGCCTTCAGCCCTGCAGTAAAGCCCAGATCGAGTGGGAGAGGATCTGCGGCATTGCATGCACCTCTTTATACAGGAAACAGGCCCAGGGGCTCAGGTAGCCTTCCCTTCATACAGCTTTGTATGTAGCCTGGCATGCAAGAGTGGCTGCTAACTACTGCTTCACATTCCACTGCTCTGGGTGCCTGCTTCCCTCAACAATTTGACAACTTTACTTGCCAAAATCAGATTGAGGTAAAAACTGATTAAGGGAAGTGTCCAGTGAGGAGTGTCAAACGTTGCACATTAGAATTACCTGGATTGCTTAGCAAACCCTCAGTACTGCACATGAAGCCAATTAACTCATGACCTCCACACTGAGATCCAAGTATGTAGAGTATTTGACCAGGGCAGGATGACCTGGAAAGCTCAGTCTCTTCTGGTCCCCACAGGCCTGTGGTTCTGTGGGCAGAAGTGGGGCAGTTGGACAAAGTGGGTGGTGTGAGGCTATTTGGTGACAGGATTTAATACTTTTTTCTAGTGAAGCTGGACCTACCAGAGAATTTTGGCAATCTACAAACTATCTCTGCATCTGTAGGAGTTATATAAATACTACATTTAGAAACAAACACCCTGACTGGGAAGGGCTGACTGTATTCCAGGAAACTCCTCCCTATCCTATGGGGAACATCCCACAGTGGCTCTGAAGACAAAGATAAATATCTGCTTTGGTGAAAATGGCATTGGATAATTTGAAATTTGGTTTAAAAGTTACTTTTTTGGTGAGAAAAAAAATTCAGTATTTCAAAACAAACTGATTTTAGAGCTATATTATATCTGTAGATGACTAACAAGTTATTTAATACAGGCCTTTGAAAAGATAAAGTCTAATGAGTTTAACACTAATTTCTCTTTTTCTAAATTTACATTGTATTCTAAAACTGGGAGACAAATATCACCTATATGGAATATTCTGGAGAAAAACATCTAAATACCAGATATGCAATGAAATGGAATACTTAAACAACACTATAAACAAACCATGTAGACCTAACATACACCTATAGAACCCTCACCCCAACAGCAGAATACATATTCTCAAGTGCACATGAACATTTCCCAATATAGACCATATGTTAGGCAATAAAAACAAGTCTCAGTGAATTTAAAAGGATTGAAATCCTGAATAATGAAAAGTTAATATGCAAATTGACCATCACTCCAACACACAAGATGGCTGCCCCCATGTGGGCACAAGATGGCCCCCCCAGTTGAACACAAGATGACCCCCTCCCATTTGGATACAAGATAACCCCCCCTTTTGGACACA